TGCAACAGCGCTCTGTAGCCAGACAAATCGAAATGCTAAACACCGGTTGTAAATTGTGAATGCTGAGTCATGCCAACTACAGAGGAGAGGACCATCTGGCTTCTCATCAGTGTCCAGTTCACAAGTCTGCGCCCCTGATGATACGGGTGGGGTGGACTAGTGCCTTCGGCAACTGGCAACTTGTACATGTGGAGCAACAACAATGCTGAAAGAAACAAATTACAGATGCAGATTTGCCGATGACCCATCCAGATGGCATCTTTTTTAGAGGAAGGTATTGAATATCAAATCAAAAGAATATTAAAGTACAAATGCATGTATTTCAACAGTATGGCCTAACGAGTCCCTGTTGTTGAGTCCAAGTGCTGGACAGGCTTTGCCTGTCATCAGGACCAAGCGGAAAGGTTTGGCACAAATATGTCGGCTAGGACTCCAAATTCTGCTCTCCATGTGTTTATTTTTTATGTGAGGCTAAAACAAGAAACCTAATCAGAGAAAACAAACAAAGAGCAGTCTTGTCTTCTACACATTCACTTACTGTGCCGTCTATTGGCAACCCCAGATGTCAATGTCAATTCGTTTTTTGTGGTTTCTTTGGAAGGCTCGGGCATTGGTCCTGGGACAAATGAAACATGGATGGATGTATAGATTAGGATAAACAAAATCGAATGACTTTATTTGCCAAACATTTTCAAATAATCTGCTAGAAATTCAGAGATTATTGAGGTTTGAGAATGACATTCTATGAAAATGATACAGTTTTTGGTGATTGGGTTAATCTGTTATTGATGTTAAAGTAATCTTGGAGATTTATCTTGGAGATATTTAAAACAAAAATGACATATATGAAATGTGCAGAAGAACTGAAAATGGGTTCCTGCATGTATTTATACATTAAATTCAATTAAATCTAAAAAGGTTTTAAGTGCATCACTTGTTTAATATATGTTTGCACATAGATGAACACAGAGTAGATGGTAGAGGCACAGTGACAGATGTACTGATAAAAAAGAACAACATGGAAAAAAACCAAAGACTTAAACATTTTTAAAACTATTGAAAATAAAAAAAAATGAAAAAAATGGACCAATATCTGAAAAAATGGAAAGAGACAGGTTTTTAGCCAAGCAAAGTCATCCATTTCATCAAACAGACTAAGCTGACATGCCTAAATGTCCACTGTATCTCTTTTCCGAAACCCTTCTTTCATTTTTATAAGAATGTTACTGCATAGTTTCGCTTGTGAATGAGCTAATTTCAAGTTGCTCAAGCACATCACTGCTCTCTGGTTGATTTAACATAATGACATATTTTGGGACAACACAGGAGTCAGGACACAATGTGAAATTTCTCCGAATGATGCTCTTAAGATTGTACCTCGCACAAATGTGGGACCAGCATAGTGAAAAACGCAATGGTGTCCAGAAAATGTTATGGTGAGCACTGTGAGACAGCAGCGTGTGGGTCAGAAAGTCATCTAAAATGTGCATTATGGCCCAACATAAGACTCTGCACATCACTAAGAAAGCATACACTGAAGGGATGATAAATCAAACAAAATTTGTCGTTATCAAGATAAAATTGTGGTCTCACTCATTAGAGAAAAGCTGCAGTTTGTCAATGTTAAATGGATCCAAAATGGTTGACGGAGCAGATTAGTGGACATTCGGTTTAGGAGGGTGCGCTGTCAAATTTCATTATATACTGACAGCAGAGCAGCGTCATGAATTATGCATGATCTAATGCTTCTGAATTGATTATGCTCGTGCAACCTTTGCTGTAAGAGAGGAAAACAGATTTAAATTCTGTATCAGCATGGTTCTCATTTCATTCATGCTTTCAGCCCTGTACAGGTCAGCTGTCGGCTATTAGGAGAGTGCTTCTCTGATATATGTGCAAAAAAAAGTTTTAATAGTTTTATTTGGTGAACATAGAGTTCAGAAAGTAAGAAAAAACTGACGTAGCAGTGAATATAACAGTTTTACAAACACAACCAAGCATCTTTGAGGCAAAAAAGAAACTCCACAGTTAGGGTGGTTCTCAGATAGTGTGAACTATTGAAACATTGAAACATTTTTTGTTAATGTTTCCATTACAGTGCAGATTGTTTCTCGAGTGAATTATTTTGTTTGAGATAATACTTATCACACGTGTGATTCATTCTTTGCAATGATCGAATAATCATGGATAATTATAAATAGGTTACTGACGTGGCCCATCGTCTGGAGAAGTCACTCAACCTCAAGATTGGGAGTCTGAAAACATTAAGGCTTCAAGTTCTATGTTTCTTTAAAACTGGAATATGTCAGCTGAACTATTTTGTTGTGAACAATCCAAAATGGTGTCCTGAAATGGCATAAAAGTCTTACATCCCAACTGTTTATATTCACAACATCTGTGTGCTCATCATTAGTGTTAACATTTTTTATGTAGACTGCAAAAGAGCAGAGAGCCAAGTTGGAACATAAATGAAATAGAAAGAAAAATCTTCAGGGACAGTTATGAAACTGAAACAATTTAGTCAAAGTCATCTGATGTCAAATCTGAGTTTGTGAATTTTGTCAGTTAAGCCATTTTAAAATAATTTTTCAAACTATTTAACTAATGGGCACAGGCAGCTTTTTCCCTCTTTTTGAAAACATGATATATCCACCGGCTAATTAGATTGTGCGTTTTCAAGGCCACATGCATTTTAATCAGGCAGGAACTGGCCTCTAAAGATAAATGAGGGGAATTAAAATGTACTCAAAGAGCTTTAATGTTTTGAACCAAAACAAGATTTGAAAAAACAGAAGGTATTTCTGCGTGTGGGGTAAAGGTTTCTCATTCTTCTGCAGGATGTCATCTGTGCCATACAACATTAACCAAGGGGCTCAATGGCTTGGAAATTCAGAAAACTTATTTTATTTAAAAATAAGAACCCTGTCCTGCTTGCCAGTTGAATACGCCATTAAAGTATAACATGTTCGTCTCCCATTTTAAAGCATAAATCAGGTCCACATTCCCATGGTGGAGGTTTTTTATACTCGCAGTTATGACAAAAAGTTTTGTCTTTACCATGCTCGTTTGCTTTTTCATGTGTGTGGGCTTTGAAACTAATGAAGCGGTGCAAAAAACACAACTAATTCTTGTCACGATGAACAATGTTCCCAATTTCAGCACAGACTTTTGCATTTATTAAACAGTGTTCTAAAAACTCATCATTTGGTTTTGAACAAGTCCAGCACAGAGTCTGGAGTTTCAACCATTTAGCATAATTTCAAGGGTGTGTAAAAGAACTATTGGACAGTTTGAATGGAGACAGAAAAAGACAGACGTGAATACAAATGAGCATATCAAGAAGCTACATTAGCAATTGTACGGTGCAGCCAGGTTTTGAAGCCATATGTGAAATTCTCACATGAAATTTTTGGATTTGACACATGTCTAACTAGAAGATGGCTGATTCTTAAGTCGGTTTTGGGCACAAACATGCCAGGGTACATTAGTTTTGACAGGACAAAATTAATTTATTTACTTGAAAAATCATAGAGTGGAGTGGATAACCTGAAGTGGCCTCTTCAAGGCTTTGTCAGGTAGCCCCAGGGTAAAAAAATGTTCTTTTTGACATGCTTTTCACAGCTGTGTGACATCTGAGTTTCCACCGAAGTATTCCTGAACATTTAAATTATTTTGGATAGACCACATAAAAAATGTAGAGAGTGTCAGGGGATTTGTCTCTTTGGACATCTGCGGGGCGGGTTAAGATTTATGATTTCAAAATGTCGACAGGCTGATTAACAAAATTGTTTTTCTAACTGGAGTGTTTAGATAAAGCAGATTTATGCAGGGCTGCATTTGAATTGCTCTCGTTGGGATCAATTTTACGACCTAAATACTAAAATAACTCAAAGATTCATCAATAGTTTATTTATTTGGTAAATATTTACTTTGTAAAATACAGGGATATTCCATTATTTAGTTTATTTGTTCTGCCAAGGTACCTAAAGCATCTTGTCTCTGAGGAGCTGCCTCAAGATGAACTGGAGAGTCCTTCACTGATAACACTGTTTGTTCCATCTCCTTATTTTTCTTTCAGCCCCAAGCTGAACAAACACGGGATTTTAACAGTTCTCCCCTGTGCATTTCAACTCTCTTTGTAGGTCTCCCCAGAAAACATATTCACACTGTTTAACAGCACCAACATGGCTCAACATATATCGAGGAGTTACATCAGCAGGTCAACCAGTCAAATCCTTTATATGAAACAATAAAAAAAAATATTTCCAGTGATGGTGCTTCTTTCTCACTATTTTGTTTGGAAGTCTGTGCAGAAACATCCCAGTATTAGAAAAAGGGTTACCCAACAGAGTGGAAGTGTTGCAATAGGTTTGAGGAGTAAAGATTTTGAGATAAAGTGCACATTTCTGAATGAAAATTCACTTTTGGCTTCATCTGAGTGATGAAAAATAAAGAAGTCCAAAAGTCAAAGACATAAATATTGGTAGTCAACCTCAAAATTTTCAAGAAGGTTTCTGTCTTTCTATGCCTATTGTTTTAATCTCTCACAGAATCCTCCTTGTATTTGAAGGAGAAGGTATCAGATTTGCTGCAGCAACATTCCCATCATCGTATCTACGTGTCCTTGCTACTTATGTTGCATGCTTCATACATATTAACACAGGTCTGTGCATGTGTGAAAATGTGCTGTCATTCTTAAGATGACAAGCATTAAAGCAACAGACAATATTGATATTTTTTTCAGAATAAATATGATAAGAAAACAACATCACCCCTCTTTTCTTGTGTTTTTGGCATTAATGCAGCTTTACATGATTAACACATTTTTTTTCCTGTTTTTTTTTTTAACCTTCTTTAGTTTTGTGAATGGATCCTGTGCTATTTGACATCTCCGTAATACTTAAATGTGTGATCCTGTGATTTATCATTCCCCTTTCTCTCCCCCGATTTGCCTCCCCTCTCACTGCCGTTCTCTCCGTTTCAGATGATCTCTGAAGGGGGACGCAGCTGCAGCACAGTTACAGTCCTCCTCCTCTGTGCACCCTCCGTCTGCCTCCTCTCCTCTGTGCCGATCTGAAGAGCGCCAGACAACTTTCAAATTCACCTGCTTATCTTTTGCTCACCTCATTCGTGTTACCTATTGCCTAATTTACAGGCATGACGGCAAAAGGTTGGCAATGGAAAAGGCGACCTGCAGCCTACCATCATGAAGGTAACGACTTATTTGTAATGCTTTCTATTTTGATTCAGCAAGGTTATACGCTTTAACAAATTGCAAATATTGTTCCGATTTTTATATTTTCTTGCTTCAGGATTGGTGTATTTGATAGAAATTAATTAAGCTTCAAGTCCAGAAAAAGAAAAAAACAACAAAAAACTAAGCTGAGTTATTTAAAAAAAAATGTCTACATATAATCTTAATTGAAAATAGATCTAATTGTTGATGTTACTGGAGATAAATCTTCATAAAAATAGTGGTCTTTAATGTGTCTTTAAAAGGGTTCACCTCACTGTAGCATTTTTGTCAAACAAACTTAGATTGGCAATATGATGCCTGCAATGTAACAACATCATTAACCTTTTAGAGGAAATCATTAGCATTAGTAATTGCTGTGTGTGAAATGGCAATTATCCTAAAATGCCAACACTTGATGTGAATAATTTGAGACAATTTATCGCTCCTGTGAAAGCAATATCCTTCAACCTACAGGGATTTCTAAATCAATTCCAGGCAAATGTGTTTCTGTGCTGTTTCTTCACACTGCTAGATAATAGATACTGTAGACCCTTTTTACCCTTGCTGTTTTTCTATTTTCACAAAAACAATTTAAAAACAGTTCACGAGACCTTTCAAATATAGAAAATGATTGCCATTCTAGTGATTCCAACATGATTTGGAGCACTAGATTTCTGCTCATACTCATATGTTCTCCCAAGGACAACAGTAATGACTGGACACTTAAATCTGCTTGAACTTTCCACCTTGGATGTTTTCCAGGAGACAATAGCAGTCACTTAAAGGGAAGAAATACTCACATCAACAGTTGAAGCAGGGACACTTTAAATAGTATTGAGGCTTTCCTGTTAAAAAATAAAAAAATAAAAAAGGCAAATGTCTGTGTTCCATTTAAGCCTTATGATAAAAATCTCAAAGCTTTAAATCCTATTGTTCGCTTGTTTTTCCCATATTTTAACTTCATCGCAGACCCAGACATCAACCCCTGGCACCAGCACAGGCTGTGCTGACATCTTACATCTTGTCCCTCCTGCTCTCCTCTCTACAATGGAGTTCACTTACCAGGACTCCACTTCATCGTCACCATTCTACAACACTAGCGTGCCAGTAAATGCATCAGGGAATAACACGTACAACCAACTCAGTGAGGTCAACCTTTTTGAAATCCTCGGCCCAAAACGGTCTCCCTTTTTCTTCCCTGTGACCACGGTGTACCTTCTCATTTTTCTCACTGGCTTGTCGGGAAATCTGCTCACGTGTGCCGTGATAGCCAAGCACAAGAAGATGCGAAACCCCACTAACTTTTATCTGGTGAGCCTGGCGGTGTCTGACCTCCTCGTGCTCATGTTCGGGATGCCCTTAGAGATTTATGACCTGTGGCAGAACTACCCATTCCCCTTCGGCGTGGGCGGCTGCTACTTCAAGACATTTCTCTTTGAGACGGTCTGCTTTGCCTCCATTCTCAACGTCACAGCGCTAAGCATGGAAAGGTATATTGCCGTGGTGCATCCCCTTAAAACGCGGTACCTGTCCACCAACCAGCACGCCAAGCGGGCCATTACAGTTGTGTGGGTCTTGTCGATGATCTGTGCAATCCCCAACACCTCGTTGCACGGCATCTTCTACTTACCGGAGAGGATGGAGGAATCGGCCATTTGTACTGTGCTGAAGCCTCTATGGATCTATAACTTGGTCATGCAGGTCACCACCGTCTGCTTCTATTTTGTACCCATGACGATCATTAGCATGCTCTACTTAGTGATGGGCATTCATTTGAGCAGGGAAAGGCAAAACGGCAGAAGGAACCTGGGAAAGAGCTTTTGCAGCAGCACAAGGAGGAAGATGAACATGGAGAGTGGCCGTAGACGACAAGTCATCAAGATGCTTTGTGAGTACATAAGCAGATGGGAAGGCTAATCATGCTGTGTTAATCACCTGCATGTGAAGTTCTAGAATTGCACCGACTGATCTCAAAGAATCTATCAGGCCTAATTTAAAACCTGTAATTGGTACAACTTACTGGTTAACTTTGAATAAGCACTCTGAGTTCAGATAATGACCTAAATAGTAATAATAATCTGAATATGCAATGCAGAATTTCAGGTCAGTCTTTGATTTGATTCTTACTGGAAGTATTTGGATGTCAACAATGAGGCCACAGCCACCAATACATGTCACAACAAATTTCTGAGGTCGTGCTTCGGCCAGAGTTTTTATCATAAGCGAACCATGTTCACAAGTATTTCCACAACCTGTTACTTCATTGATTTAGTTTCCAGACAGATGGAATTGTCAATCATATCTGTAGTGGTTGACCATTGTCATTGTCTTCTTTTTGTTTCACCTGCCTCGACCTCATTGACACAAACATTTCCTTTTGTGCTAAAGTTACTGAAATTAGGAGAGACTAAGTGTAGTTTTATAGTAAAAAACAATATATATATTAAAGACATTAATATTATTATCGTCACTCCCCCCTGAAGAGGAAGTAATACTAACGTTGTAAAAGCGCATATGACAGAATTGTGTGAAGAAATATCTTTAATGAGTCCAATACTCTAAATCACCTAACCCTAACCTTAGCAAAAAACAAAAATATAATTAATAATAGAAATTTACAGCTTTGAACTCCCTTAAACTTAAATAAAAAGGCGCTAAAAGGGTCAGAATAAAACAAACATCAAAATCTTAGACCATCCTTTCGTAAGCAGAAAGAGAGAGGGAACTGACAGACATGTAGAAAGTTCAAGGGTAGTCCAGATGAAGGGTGTGGTAGATACCTTCAGAGGTCGCCATGGGTTGGGGTGTTGTTTTGCAGCTTGGCAACAGTTTTCCTGATAAGTGCACATGCAGCTTTGGCTGTCAACACAGGCTCCCTCAGTACACAACGTGGACAGGCACCAATCAGTTCAATGTTTAACTGTTGTGGTAAAAACTAACCAAAACGTTCTTCTAACTTCAAGACAGGATACATGAGGGGCACCATTGGTCACCATAAAAGAAATTGAACCCCACAACAATGTCTAGCGTCTCTTTTTTTAACCAATGTGAGAAAAAAACACTAATGGACAAACACACACACAATAAATCTCATTAATCCTTCTCCTTCCTCTAGGCTCCTCTCCCTCGTCCATAGGCAAAAGCTATATTTTGCTTCTAAAATGGGATATTGTTTATTTTTGTGTGTTGCATATCATTTCTGCCACATCATAACAGTATACAGTAAGCCAGGCTCTACTTTAATCAAGGAGGCTTACTGAGGCATAGATTTATTCTCCTCATTACTTCCGCTGGCATTGCTACAGTCATTCACATCTCACTTTTTGGATAGAAACAGTTTTATGGCTAAGTTAAACTCAGTGCAGTGCTGGTGACCAGCCTGGGGTGTTTCTCATCTTCATCATTTGACAGCTGGAAAAGGCTTCAGCACCCCTTTTCCTGCTCTAACTTTGGACAGGATGAATTCAAGAAAGGCTCGACAATAGTTGATAAAAACATTTCAACTGATTTGAATTTAGTCTAATACAAGTGTGGACTGTGTAATTATATTTACAGCATCAAGCAAAAATGGGAAAGGGGAAAACAGAAGCATTGGGAATTTGGAAGTAACGCTCTTACAACTGGGCAAAGCGCACCAGAATTAAAGAAAGTGCTCAAAGTGGATAGTTTGCATATTTTACACGGAATCTGCCACTGAATGAAAATCTAGTCTCCAAAAATAATTAGCATGCAGAGAAGTGAATCAAAATGCGCCAAGCCAAAAGCTGTAGACTCAGCTTGGTCTCAGAAAAATAAAAGAAATACTAAAAGAAAATACCCCAAAACATACAGCGTGACACGGTGACACGTGAGGGAAAATTGTAAATATTATAAAGAAAAACGATTCTCTCTTTCTTGGATAGTAATCAGAATAAGACTCCATTTACTGAACTTTCCAAGCTTAACTCCATTTAAATTCTGCTCATTTGGTCATCCCCTTAGGTAGAAAGAATCAACAATGACACTTCTGACATCTGGCCACCCATTCTACATGCTGTAGACAATAATAATGTAGTTGTCTGTTGTGGTTGTCACATGTTACATGAACCATTAAGTAGCTTTGATTGTTCATTAAGTCATCTGAGTGGTTCTCATCGTCCTTCTACTCTCTCGAATACCAATAATTTGTTGTGTTTTTGCTTTACATTTACACCAGTTACACAGTATGAAGTAGTTTCAAGGCATTAAGACAACTTGCAATAACCAGTTTGGGGACTGAAGTACAAACCACAAAGTACCAATAAAAGTATAAAGTAGAATATTCAGAACATTAGCTTATGCAAAACATACCAAAGAAACCAATCAGCCTAAATGATCCAATAGGTTGTTTGCTCATATCACTTAAATAAACCTGCCGCCCCTGACATAAAATAGAGCTATAATATAATATACAGCTGTGGAGCTGTGTTCTGGAGCTGTGGAAACAAAAAAAAGGACCAATTTGCATGTTTAAAGTTGTGAACCTGCCAAATGAAAACCTCAGTTAAAACTGTGCATCCAAACATTGTTCAATTATTGTGTTTATTTCTGTGATAAAAAATCCTGATTGTTGGCATTTCCTTCCTTAAGACCATTAGAGCATTATGAACGTAGCCTCCAGAGCTTAAAAGAATAGCAAAGCAAAACCAATCCATGATGAGCATCCTCAGAGAGAAAGGTTTACCACTCTATTATTTCCTTTTTTTCTTTTATATGTGGCAACAGTGTAACAAAACAACATTCCAGTCCTCATCAGTTTGAAGTGCATTTAACACTTTCAACGTTTGATCCTTAACTGCTTTTTTAATCATCTTCAGAGGATGTGTGACTTTGTCTTTTTGGAGACCGTTAATTGCAACAGCTAAGTGCTTCATTTGCTCAGCAAGAGATGCAATTATGGCATAATGTCATCCCGACTTTCCATTTCCAATATTCTGTAGAGCCATTTGTTTTACAAATGTAGAAACGTGGCATCCAGTCACCTCATGCAACGTTATGTAATTTACTGTTCTTTCCAACTGAGACGTAATCAAGAAAAAGTGGAGGTATTCTGCTCCACATGTATGTCTACGCATAGATAATTCGATCAATTTGGTTTAGTTTACACTCAAACGCTCACTGACATACAGCGTGACAAACCAAAGACGCACCTTAAGTGAGGATGTCTATCAGGGTGTTCTTTCTCTGTTCTGATCTTCCAGCGATCGTGGTGGCGGTCTTTGGGGTCTGCTGGGCGCCCTTCCATATCGAGCGACTCTTGTGGAGCTCAGTCAGCCAGTGGACTGACTTGATGCATAACGTTTATCAGTACGTCCACCTCCTATCAGGCATCTTCTTCTACCTCAGCTCCGCGGTCAACCCTATAATCTACAGCCTGCTCTCCACGAGGTTCAGGGAGTGTTTCAGGGAGCTCGTCTGCTCCAACACGGAGGACAGCAACTCCGTCAGAGACTCCCCACCTTTGCCTAAGATTTTACTGGACTCCTCCATCTCAAGTTCCAAAACAGCAGTGAGGGGTAAGAATTCCACTTCATTCATCCCTTTGCTGTCATCTAATGTTACACTGAGCATGGACGCTTGCAGCTCATGCAAATGTAAAGACAGAACTTGTAGGACCTCTGTGTTTTAGGCAAAACAGAGCAAGAGATTGACATTTTGGGGCATTGGTTTAATTGTCTTTTATACTGCCAGGAGAAAGATAGCTTGAGTTCAAGTAAGGAGTGAGAAACTTTAGGATTTCCTCTCATATAAGAAGTTGAGAAAAGATATGTTGCTCTAATGTATCACAGGGAAAATTTGTGATTTAGAAATCTAGGCTTGAAACCGCCCTGAAAAAATCAAGATAGAGCAGTGAAGTTAGTTTTCCAGCCCAATACCACACGTGGAGGTTTTTGTTTTATGACCACGGTGCTACGTCCCACTAAACACATGTAATTACATTCTGTTTTGTATCTTTAAGCACACAAATGAATGACTCAAACGGCCAATATCACCACGGTCTTCATCCACATTTCCTTAAGGTTTGCTTTGATTGCAAGTGCAACAAAGCGAGTACAGTGATGGAAAGCAAAACATCTGTAACAGTTTAGTTTTATAGGTTCTTACTCCTAAGCAATCATTCACAGCGTGCACAGAAGAATAGAAGCATGCATAGAGGACATTTACCTTACATCCAACTTTTGAATCTTTTAAAGCAACAGATTCAGTCATCCCTACAGATTTTTTGGAGGACAAACAAAACTGTTGTCTTTGATTAAACTGAACTAAAGCGGTGCTCTTGTTTCTACAGCAGCACTCAGTGTGTTTGCATACCAGCGAATGGAAATCTTAAAATGAAACATTGAGGTAGAAAATTGGATGCATATGAATGTGATGAATTCCACAGGAAGTCACAATGAATGCTGAATTTATTTACCATGTTTTGTCATTTTTCTCACTTATTGTACGCTGGGATAAAAAAAAACATCAGCAAAGGTGATGAATACTCATTACAAAGAATTAAGGGAGGTACCCTCCATTGGGACAAAACGTCCAAACCCTCACTTGGCTATTTTGATTAATCTGCTGCATTTTACGATTAGTTGTTCCATGTCTTATGGGGATCGGAATATATATCCAATGCAGAATTGAACGTTCTGCACAAACTCCATTATAAACAACAATAGTCATCATGGGATTGTTTGATATCCAATGTCCTTGATAGTCAAACAACTTCACACAGCTTAATCTGAAGACCTTTTTTTCAGCCACAGCCTGATTTAACTTTGAGGTGTCATAAATGTAGTGTGGTAGTGCTTGACGCTCCAATATGCTGCAGGGCAGGTAAAAATGCAAATGGCCTGCTTTGATATCATGGCATGATGTGACCCCGGTGAGCTGTTGTGGAAACACGGGAGTGCAACATTTTAAGGGAAAGGGCCATGATAAAAAATAAACTTTTCTAATATCATAAAAAAATGCAGAATTTCCACACTGTATATTTTACTTAATTTTTACAATTATTCATGACAAACTGGAACTTAAAACAAATGCAAATGGAGAAAAATGACAGGAGAAAATATGATTAAAAAAATATTAGGACTGCAAAAAATCAAGCAGATAATCTGACTTAAACATGATATTTAAATATGTTTGTACTATGAAAACATTTTTTTAGGGGAGAGTATGATGTATTATGAGGCATTAGTGTGTTCCCTGCAGTAGAAAGTGATCAGAATGCTGTAAGTTTGGAGATTTAGGGATTTCATTTGAGCAAACCATGATTCTTAACGAGGCAACTACTAAAACAATATGTCAAAAATATCTTATGGATTTTAAGAAATCCTCAAATAGAGACTTTAAAGCCACGTCAGTTTAGCATAATTTTGTTACCGTTCTCTCAACCAAAAAGACAATACTTCGAGAGAGAGAGAACTTCTGCTGGTCTATTCCCAAAATAACAATTGTGAGGCTTTGAAAATGAGCGAAAAACTGAGCCCTTGAGTTTCCCTGAAAATCTCAAAACTATGATTTCCATAAATTATGACTGATTGCTTTAGATATCCAAAACATGAGTTGGAGAGTAATTCTCATTTGTATTTTTTATTTCCCAGCTGATCCTGTTTCTTTACAGTCTGTTTACCAAGAAAAGCCAATGGCCTCTTAGGTCCAGAGTCATATTTAACAAACAAAAATATCAACTTTCTGATTTCATTTCTGGATTGATATCTGTAACATAGTTCATGCTATGATAAAAAGCTTGTATGTACAGTTTGGCTTTGTTGCTGCTAAGGAAAATGCCCGCAAAAATCTACCTTTTGTTTTTATGTGCAAGTGCTGTATGCCTTAGGTGATCATTCCAGAGGGAAAGTGGAGAATTAGATGTGGCTGACAACATGCTTTTCTCGATCATTTTGTTTGTATTTGAAAATCAATGTCACTGAGCAGCAAGACAAAAGTGCATATTTTTCTGTGACCACGCAAACAAAGAATGTAATGCTGTATTGTGAGCTTCTCTCAGTCTTTTTGTGTTTGTCCTTGTATGGTTGGCAATCATCTACGTGATTTGAATGGCTTTTTAGTTATTGTTTACTGTCATTGAAAAGATGAAAAAACTGATTACAGCTATTGTGCAAAGTCTCATTGTAAAGCTTACATAAATAAATATTGATGTGCCCATATATTTAAAAGGCTACTGTATGACTGTTACATTTAATTAGAGCTCTGATTCTTTGATTATTTCAGCATCACCATATGTTTTTTTTTTTTCCAACATCACGGCCTGTGTGATTTAATTTTATTTCTGAGAGGATCATGAGCGGTTGGCTCACTTCATAACCCAGAGGATTTTTCTCCATCAACCTTGAGAATAAAATGTAATCATCTGATTTGATATGAGCTTTGTTCACCTGAATATATCCCCTTACTTGAGAAGTGATTTGCATTTTTTGTCACATTTCTTTCAATCAGAAGTGCAAACAGTTCATTTTTGGCATAAAAAAAAAACAAAAACTTTACATTGTAAGCTCTTTTTTAAACTTCACTGAGGAAAACAAAACATATGAGCCAAAACAGAGTTGTTTTGCTGTTCTGCCATCAACAAAAGCGATCGCGACGATGTGAATGGGGTTTGAACAAAGGCAGGAAGGGTAGAGAGCGGAACGATTGAAATGTTTAGCCCAGGGGTCTTCGGGACTAGACTGAGGAGGACAATCGTGCACATCACTAAGCAGAATCGACCAAATGTCAGTTCATTTTCTCAGTCTGTGATCACCTAAGTTGGTTGGACTCTTATTTGCTTCCTGTTCCTCAGTCATATGAAGTACAGCTCACTTGTCTTTTGGCCTGGGTTTAGCTGTAGCTCAGCTGGAGAAAGTCGGCTTACGAGCGATTCTCACAACATTGTACGTATTGAGACCCGGTGCGTCAAATCCAGGAGACAAACCCTGCTTATTAAACATGTAGAAGTTAAATAACTGGCCATCTTGGGCTTCCAGGGACACTGAGGCTGTGCCCACTCGCAATATACAAGGGTATTCTTTTTCAAACACAACTCTGAACACCCGCTCAACCAGGTAGTTAAGCTTTATTGTCCTGAACTTCTCTGGGATCAGTTCTTCGATCTGAGGACCAAACTGCTGCATGATCAGAACTCCGTCTGACCCCACTTTGATCTCATAGAAGGTGATGTTGCCGTATGTGAAAATGCCGATGTAAGGATCGGGACTTGGGGGAGCAACGAGGACCTTATTGGCTTCCCTGAAGGCCTTTTCTATGGCCGGCACAATATGGCTGTAAGCCTTCCTGACCACATCCTGTTTCTGAGACCTGCTGCCTGCCATGAGCACCACCAGGCCGAGCTTCAGCCTGGGAATCAGAGAGAACGTGGCAGAGTAGCCGTCCAGGTCACCATCTTTTCGCACCAACTCGTAGCCCATCAGCTCGTTCACCTCCCACGGGGTGCCGGTCCGGTTCGCGAAGTAGTCCTTATCGCACCGGAACAGTGGAGTCAGCATGATCTTCAAGGAGTCCGGCTCCAGCACCTTGCGGTGATAGGCTCCCAGCAGCATCATCGCGAGCTTTGCCAAGTCGGCGGCCGTGGAGAACATCTGACCGGAAGGCCGGTACCAGCCGAGGTCGTAGAGCGGAGCCGGTTTTCCGTTAGAGTACACCCCCACAGCCATCTGACTGTGCCAGCCAGGGGTCAGGTCGAAGCCGGTGTCTTCCATCCCCAGCCTGTCCAGAATGTTTTCTGCGACCCACCGCTGGTAGTCCGCTCCAGCTACTCGCTCTGCCATCACATGAGCGAGCAAAGAGAAAGCAAGGTTACTGTAGTGACACCTGAAAGGAAGCAAAATAAAGAGATGGAGAAGTATTTTCAGTTCTCGATTACTTGCAAAATCAGTTCCAAATAGAGTTGACATTTTTAATTAAGTTTAATTTAAAAAAGGAACACTGAAGTTTCCTCAAGTGACAGATTGATTTTGTATTTATATTAGACCTGGCGCTCTGCAGGTAATCATTTCATGATACAATATATCAATATGAGAATGCAGAAATTAGTCGAAAGTTCTAAAATTTCAATCATGTTATAATTGCGAATCGTAATAAAATTTCTGACAAAGAAACGCTCATTCACCCACAAAGGAGTCCTGGTGCTCTGCAGGTAATCATTTCATGATAAAATATATCAATATGAGAATGCCGAATTTAGTCTAAAGTTCTAAAATTTCAATCATGGAATAATTGCGAATCGTAATAAATTATCTGACAATGAAACGCTTAATTCGCTCACAAAGGAGTCTTACTTTGTACCCGGATCGGCAACTAAAACATCATCTTGTAGAAGATTGATTGCAGCTTGCGTTTTTCCTTTCCAGAGTAGATTTGTGGCCCGGAGCCTCCTTGGGAGACCTGGATCACAACATAGCAACACAGCATTTGAAAAAAAAGAAGAAATAAGGGAGAAAGTTCCTTGATGAATGACAGTACCTTCTGGCTCTTCTATTGTTCACTTTTCATTTCAATGCAGCATTTGACTCATATTATCATGTTTTGATACATTTCTTTGTTTAGCACATATGGTATCAATTAAATAAAGCTGTACAATTTGCCAAATTGAAAACCCATTTGGATAAAAACAAATTTTCCTAATAAATCCAAAACTTTTTTCAAGAAAATCAAAGACAAACAAATCATTGAGCTGACGTGCATACTGTACTTTCAGATGTCAAAGCTGTTCACTTATGTCAGAGCCGTTTGCTCTTTAGGAGAGGTAAAAAAAACAAAAAACACAGAGCATCTGCTTCTACTTTCTATCTTTTTATATGCACCTGAGAGCTGGCTCGCCATCCTGCGCAAGGTGACTGAAGAGGAGCGAATCTGAACCTCTCCACTGTCTAGAAATATGAGGCCGTCTGTGATATATTTCAGCTCAGAGTCTCGCGTCTTCCCCAGAGGGTTCTTGATGGTGAAATTCTCCACATATTTTTCCAAGGGGTCATCTAAGGAGCCGATCTTCCCATCCTCCCACAGTCTGTACAGCATCAGTGTTGGGAAAATCTTGGATAGGCTGGCAATTCTGTGAGAGAGGTAAGAGGGTATCGTGATGGGTTTCTAATCTAAACAAAATTAACCAAACCGTGTGTACTCTTTTTTTTAATATGTTTCTCTATTAATGTGTTGTCCCCCTCTGACACCCAGTCAAATAGAACTGAAGAGCAACTTACATGCTGAGTCACGTAGAAATACATTTGCAAAAAGTCTCTTTGTAAAATGCATAAGCTGTACCATCACCCACTAATCCCCTGAATTTAGACATTTTAAGACTTTGTTTTTCATTTTATATTCTATTGAGATAAGTCACAGCTTTAAATATAATTAGTTGTAGTGAATCCACTAAAGAGTGGACATATTTGTAAAAATATACAGTTTTAATAAAACTTAGTTGAGTTCTGTGATGGACTGGCATTATGGATGTCACTTAAAAGCAGCTGTAAAAGGTTTAAATCAATGGACAAAATGTAGTGATAAACTGAAAAAACAAGAATAAAGTTTAGCAAAATGACAATTGCAAGCACTATGAATGGCTCTCTTTGTCCTAAAGCTTCAGTCAAATATGGATCAACAATGGAAAAATCTTTTATCTTTGCTTGTCTTCAATATGACTTTATAAAATCCTCTTTGATAATGTATTCATTTAAGTACATTTCCTCAAAAAGTCTTCGATATTTTAATTAAATAAATATACATAATATTTTAAAAGTTTCTTTGAAGTCCTCACAGTATGCTTTCATTAAAAAGACCCAACCTCCAGGTCTGAGTGACCTTGATTATCTTTCTGCATTGAACAAAATTGCCAGCTGTTCAAAAATCAATTAATTGTGGAAAAAACGTTTTAAATGGAGCATTAGTCCCATCAGGAGTAGCCACACTCGCCTGAAGGTACTCAGTAAATCTTTAAATTGCTACTTTTGAGTGTTGTGTTTTTGAGAGCCCTAAATGTGCTCAGTAGTATGCAAAGTGTTGGAAACTACCGTGATGAGAGCTTGTTGTTGGGCTCTAAATCAATGGGTTCCCACCCATGAGCAGTCAAAAAGGTCAGTGTTCTAATTAGCTTTCAATTAAGCTAATTTGTGATTGGTTTTCAGCACGCTTTTGTGTGCACGAGTGGTAATCAACGTAATGTTACAGTCCCTGTCCCCCTTTAGAAAATACAATCTGACAACTATTAATTGAATAAAAACATGTTGATATATGGTTCTCTGAGAAATCTCTGGAATTGGACCCAACCTTCATGTTTCAAAACAGAGTTTAGGAAGTGGGAGTTAATTTGTCAATTTGTCACATAGAAATAAATTGCCTGAAGTGAAGGTTGTGATGTTAAGGTGTTTACATCTTTGGACTTCTGCTGCAATCTTTCTGGAAATCTTGGCTCCTCTCCACTTCAAAACCTATCGATATTTCTCTAACTTTAAATCTTGCACGGTTTCAAAGCCTGAGGCTGTTTGTTAACTTGAAATAATTTCCATCCAGCTTAGAGGCTATCCATCAAATGTTGGTGGCAACTGCATCTTCTGCTGTGTCCTATAACACCTGACAAATGAAAAAACAGGCCTACAGTGACAAGCAGGCTTGGTTATGAATGAATAATAAAAGAAACTGTAAATATCAGGGTAACTCAGTAGCACATGCACGAATGCCTTAAAGCTGAGTTTTAACTAATGTAATAAACATCAGCTTATGAGGAAAATGACTGAGTGTACAGGAGACGCTGCTTTGACACATGCCACCCACTTCAACATCCCCGCAGACCTTCTTTTAAGTACACGTATGCACTATTTCTATTTGGGGCGTCTGTGGGTGGCTCTGCACTGCTTTATTGATTGTTGCAATGGGAGTAATGCTGAGCCACTTGCCTGAGACTCAGAATAGAAAGGTCGAGCTGAACTGTATCTTTTAAAGTACTTACACAAAACAGAGTCAGGAGAACAAAAATGTGTGTATGGTATATACAAACAAACAAGCAGCACACAAAAGAAAAACACTGAAACATTGAATAGTGTCCTCAGCAATTTCTTTCCTATTGTTGATATGGATCCATTTTCTGTATTTCAGGCCTTCAACACACTGCAAAAATGTTGTTGGTGTTGAAATATTGGGTTGCCATTTAATGTGTCACCGTGATGTCACCAGTTTATTGAAAAAATGAGTGAAATGAAACTAGAGGATACTCTGTTTGTTTGCGTCTGAACGGTGTGGCTGTGCGGCACTAACCTATAAATCGTGTACTCGTTCGGTGGCCCTGAGAGGGGATCACTGGCATTTCTCTTTCCAAAGTTGCCGGTCCATAAAACAGTATCATTTAAGACTACGATGGCGGACAGAGCAGGAAGGCTGATAGGATTGATGCTTTGCCGAAGCAAAAAGTCCACCTGCAAGAGACAAATCGTAGAAAATGACTTATTCCATTTGCACCTTAAAAGGATGTCCATAGACAAATATCTAAGGAAATTAGAGAATTGAGTCTTCCATGAATATAGCTTGCATATTTTATGTTAATGTCATTATAATTATAATGCCACATGAATATTGCCCGATAAAAAGCTAAATGGATACATCACCATATCATTGAAATCTCGAGATGTAAAATCACTCTGTCTTTGACACATGACTGTGTGTCGGAATGTTCTTTTTTAAGACTGGACTCTGACGGACAAAATCACTGCTTTGTTTAGGAACGTTAAATGCGTTTTATGTCTTTATTAGCTTTGCACAATTAAGAACTCCAAATAGTTTGATAGCAAGACAAAATGAAGCAAAGCAATGGGGAAACGTGGTGTAGAGTAAAAATTCCAAGTATTCCAGATATAATTCTTTAAATGGACTCTCACATACAAGATACAAGAGGAAGTTACCTAGTTTTAAACAGGACATCTTATCCTAAAGGTGACGGAGTTGGGGAGATTAGGCCTTACTAGATTCTTGGGTCAATAAATTGTGATGCAAATGTCTGTACAAGCAGAGCGGTTTGGTACGTCGTAGGTCATGGTGATAGTCGCTCTCACTTCATGAAGTTTGATTTTTCCTTTTAATACATTTCTACTCCTTACTTCTTCAGACGGATTAAGACTCTTATATTTAAAAAAAAACCCCAACAACATATGGCTAAGGTGTCCTCTGATTGGTCGAATTCGTCCAAGATGACGGCGACTTATGAAAGCTGGTTGCCGGGTAGGAAGCTACTGCACCACATAAACAAAGAGGTACTTCGACAAAACGTGCCATGCTTTTCAAGCAGAAGAAAAAACGCATGACGTCCAGCCTTTGGTGTTTGTGCCAGAATTGGATCCTGATTATTAAAGCGGTCAGCACAATGGATGACTAAAACAAGGATTAAAGCATGATGTCTCTGATAAATGTGCTTACCATGTGCAGCTGGGCAATTTATTGTGTGAAGAAGTGTGTTTTTGAGTGACAGCAGAAAGAAGAAATTAAATAATTTATTTGTCTTGTGTATACATTCATAACACAAATCGTTATGGCCACTCAGATGCTTTGGTGGAGCCTATATGACGAATTCCTTCAAATCTCTTCACATTTTCAGAATGAACACAAACATTGATTCTTAAGGCCCTGGATGCTTTACCATGTTTCCTGGCTTATCTAGCATGGTGAACCATGCAGCGCTTTCACAATAAACTGAAATATATTTGTTTTTTTCTAATGGCCATGAGGGAATGCATTCAGTGGTTAGTTTTCTATCATCTATTTTCTATATATTGCCAGCTGCTTGATAGTTTAGACAGATTTTTCAAGAAGAAGAAAAAACCAAAAATAACCCCATAACAATTTAATTAGATATGCCTGTTCAGATCGTGATGGTTGTTCACTGGTCTGTTCTACTCCATAACCTACTCCTTGACAACTCTGCCCCCACCCCTCCTATCCCCCTCCTCATCTAGTGTGTTTTTAATCTCCTTCTGTCAAATAAAAACGACATTTGGTGTCATGGATTACCAGCTTGCTCTTGTTGATGTACAGATTCTTGGTCATGTGGGAAAATGCCTGCAGACTGTTACTGTGCGATGACTCTCTCACCTTTTCCAGCGCTTCCTTCAGACTGGGAATAGGATGCTCCAGAGGGAGAGGCTCTGGGAAGCGGGGACACATCCTTTCTGAATCACCATTCCGGCCCATGTCTCCATCTGAGGAACGGATGGGAAAAGAGATGGGGAAGCAGAAGAGTAAGCAACGGAAGACAGGTGGTGCAAATCCCTCATGATATTTGATTGAATAATCATAAAGGCCAAGGATAATGTGGAGTAATTAGTTGCTCATAATGCTGGGCTATATCTCCTGATAAAAAAGAACCTGGTATTAATAAGAACTTTACACTTACAATGAAAACACTTTGTTGTAGCCCCAGGGCTTTATTTGTCTAATGATTGTAAAGGCTTTGATACATAAAAAAGAGTTCTTAACACATTCTAGTGTCATGCTTTAACCATTGGTTGATAATGAGATTTCTTTACACATGGAATGGTGTTTTAGATTTTTGGTCAAACTTGATCTATTTGAAGAAAAAGAAGCCTTAGAGCCATGAACCTTTGATCAAGAGCACCACAGGCACAATTGTAGGGAGGGCATACTCCAGTACCGTGCTAATTAGAAATAATCTTCGGGGTATTCACTTCACATATCGTTCTTTCATCTTTCTCACACATCTTGTATTTTCAGGGAAATGATGCTGATGAAGACAGCATAACTGAACACTGTCCTCTGAGATCCTGAACTCCTTATGATGCTGCCAAAATGATATAACTCATCCAAGAAAAGAGATTTTACCCCTTTAAAATGCTAAAAGTAATGCTTTATCTAATAATTACAAATCAAATCCTGTTTATTTATAGCATTGAAATACAGAAACATGGACACCCTTTGTCACTTGTTTTTTTAAAACCCATAAACACAACACTGGGACTTGAGGTTTGATATTGTTAATGCAGTCGGCTCCATTTAAAGTATCCAGAGGTTTAGCTGTACGCCAACAGATGTTCAGTGTAACGAACAACGGAGAAACAGCATTAACTGTATGACACAGACTCAGAGTCCTGCAACTGATTGCTCATTCAAATTAATCTTTGACTTTGGAATAGTGCAGTTTGTTTTGTATTTCTAAAACAAATAATTGCCGTACTTCTTTATTTTAATGACTCCTTTATCCAGACATAAAAAAGACAGGTAAAACAGGTAAAAACTCCATATATGTCATATTTTGGTAGAGTTGCTCAAAGTCTAATCTAATTTAGAGGGTATCTTAAGAGGACCAAAGTAAAGTCCAACACAATTTAGAGGTGAAATCTTCTCAGTGAGAAGATTACATCATCAACGATGTTAATAGTAAAAAGGAGATTCTGAAGTGTGAAATGGGCCACACCTCACTGTCAAGTCACATGTCAAAGTTACATCAAAGGTTAAAGTTTAAGTTAAGTTCACAGAACAGGGCTATTTTTAATATTCCAGATAAAAAAAAGGATTTAACAAACCTCAAAAGCCTTTCGAAAGATGAAGCTGACTAATTTGTAAGAAAAAGAAACATTTTCCTGGAATAATTTTCATGCTACATGGTTAATTTCCAAAGACCATCATTTTTTATCTTACCTTGCAGAAGTTTTGGAAGCTGATATTGCCACAAAAAGCAGCCTGTCATCACCAGGGACAGAATGAGGAAGAACACCAAACCCATTTGGCTCCATTTCACCTTCATCTTGCTGGCTTTAGAGAGTTGTTCAAAGGTGACAGCAATGGAAGCAGGAGTGGAAGGAGCTGCAGCCTCCGGCGTTGGCTTCAGTATAAACAAATAAAGGGAAGCGTGTTAGCTCTAAATGTGTGAGTACTGCTTTCTTGAAATCGTCCCATTGACTCACTTTTTACATTGGTGGTTTCAAACTTGGCATAGTGATTTTAGTTTTAAGTCTTGTTGGATATCCCCAACTCCATGTTGAGTATTAGAGTGATCTCTGTTGCACTTAACAGTACTCACCACCTGATGCTTCACAGGACAACCCAGAGCAGGATTACCATAGACACAGAAATCTTCTTATCCCTCAATCAGCGACATGAACATTCATTACCAGTTAGTTCCACCATACAAGCAATCCCACCTTCCCGAAGGCAGTAAATGGTTCCCTGTGGAGTTTTTCTTGAGCAAGAGAAAGGCACAGACATGGGCTCTCGTCTCTGATTTCTCACTGACTGTGCAGTAATCCTGGGCCATGGGTGCTCCCGTTCCTCACAATTCAATTTCCTCTCTAGCAGCTGAAGGCTGTTGACATCATAATCCCCAGATTTACTCCACCAAAGCGGCAGGGGAAATCTTAATCCCTAATCCTCGTGAATCAATTCACTCCAGTCAGGCTTCGCCTTGTGGAGTCCAGCAGCAAGTACCATCAGCTGACCAAGATGGCGTCCACTTATGCTAAAACAAGTCTAGATAGGGCGGGGCGGCTTGCCAAAGCAAGATCTCAAAAGTACAATTGCTGGAACACACCAATTCAGTTTTTACAGACCACCATCAAGATGGCACACTTTGAAAGGTCTGGAGGGGTGGTGTGAGGGATGCGTTTGCTGACCACAAGCCTGCTGGAATTAATATACTCTAACATTCATTCAAAGTTAAACTCTTAGACTTTTTCTTCCCTCATGGACACCACTTCCAGAATACAATGTCAAGCGTTAGTTCATTTTTGTAAAAAAGCAAATGTGAGTAGATTTCCTATCTGTAATAGGAAGTATAAAGTATGTGTGTCTGAAGAGCAACATGGCTATGTCTTTGGAAATGGGTTTGCATTTTCTCTTGGCTCAAACGATTATTTATCTTTGTCGAGCAAACCGTTGTTTTTTCTGTAATTCCCCCAAACATCAGATTGTGGAGTCTCCTACTGTGACATCCAGTGGATGTTGCAAAGCCCCCTGGAAGGCGTTCGCAGCCTGTGTTGGAAAACATTTTTTCACATTTTTCACGTTTTTTTCATTTCTCGGCCTCCCTTTTGAAAAAATGGGGATGATTTCCAAACCAACCAACCATCCTGCTCAATAGTGCTTTCACAAAAGCAAACCCAGCTGGTGAGCGGGTTTCCATACCAATGAAGCTCCCAGCTCAAACATATCTGCAACAATGCTGCACTGAGTGGAACACTGGCTTCAATCCAGCCAACTTCTAAGTGGACAGCCACCATCTAACCCCCCTTACCTCCCCGCCCCCCCTTTGACTAAATGTCTGTGACAATGAAGATCAAAACATCTTAGTAATCAAAGCACATACACATCCTCTTCTATTGTTAACACAGCTGGATTTTCAGCCCACACTATAAATGATTCAAGCAAAAATGTTTGCCATCGAAAACAGAAGACACTCAATGATCGGCAAGAATGTTTGAGAAGACTGGCTGTGGTGGATTTTTCACTAAAACGAGAGAATAAAAAAAAAGTTTTGGATTGATTTTTATCAGTTGTGGGGAAAGGGAAATGGAGTATTTTCAAAATGTGAAAGAACTGTTGTTGGTTTAAAACAACCTCTTTTAGCGCACCAATTGGCCATTAGGTGAAACAAAAAATAATCATTTACATATTAACATATTGATGCTTGTTTGAATTAGTTTGATCTGTCAGGTTTTCTGTCAGCTTTCACTGGGAGAATTTCAATATGGAGACAGCAAAAAAAAAAGAAAGACTTAAGTTTCATTGGAACAAAAGTAATTTATGCATGTAAAAGCAGTCAACCTAATCAGCAGTGAAATTACATTTTGAAGATTCTTTTTCTTGTGAGTGTAATGAATAAATTGAATAAATACGTGAATAATTTCATTTTATTTAAATGAGATCCACAAAGGAGGACAAAGAGTTTTGGAAAACAGGACCTCAGCCGCCTTTGAAGCAAAACTAGAATTCAGCATTAAAATGTGGCAGCTTAAGGTGGGCATTGGCTCAAAGGAGCTGTTAGGACAGACAGCCAAAAGGGGATTATGTAGTTCTCACACACCACATTTGAGTTTAAAGAAAAAAATATACCAAATTTCTATGTTTTCGCTATTCCACTCTTTTTCTCCTTAGTAAATTTGACCCCAATGATGACCATTTATGAATGTTGTCTTAAGGCCAAGTTTGTACAGCCTAAACCATCAGGAGCATTTTCAAAGTCAAATACACAAACTTAAAAACTAGGAACTGAAGTGGCTTCAATCAAATTTCCCACTGTTATGAAGTAATTTCATATCGATATCTATCTTTCATGTATAGCAGTGCTCTAATATTCAGGTATTCAGTGTGTATAACTGTGCAGACCACAGAGTTCAGAAAGATCTCTCTTTTAAGATTTTGTGCATCTCAGATGAAGACTTATAATAGGTGAAGATGTACTTCTTTTATCTTTTAATTTGAACCTATTTCAGAACAGTTTTTCCACCCTTAATGGATGGTTTATTTCATAGTCAGACCTTTTGATTCCTGGTATTAAAAACTATTTTGAAACATCAGTGGGCACAAATAGTGGCTATCATCCCTTTGCTCCACTTAGTCACTGAATATTAATGGCTGAAAGGTTTTTCCTTTAAGCTCACTAATGTATTCTGGTGACTAAAGGACAATGCCATGATGTGGAAAAATGAAGTGTGAAAGTAAGCTGCCGCTGATCCGGGTTGTGTAATCTGGGATGGGAGAGCAGAACATTTGGCCCATTTAACCAACACATGCACAGCCAACCACCACAGCACTAATCATAGGGTTTAATGTGTTTACTTAACTAAATAATTTCTGTGCAAACACGTTTTTTTTAGATTTATTTTTCTTATTTTTTACTGTACAAAAGTTTACATTTTTACATATAATGTACTTCAGTAATTCGGCTTTTAAGTTTTATTGTGTGGCTTCCCAACACCAAGATTGCTTTTCACCTTCACTTGTGGGAGATTTAGAAACAAAAATCCATTTGATGCAACAAATGGATTCATTATATTAACAATGGAATAAGAAACCAGTCAAATACACGAATTCTATTTCAATTATAAAAAATAAAGCTTAGTTTGATAACTTTCTCTTGAAGTTATTGGGTATGGCACCTGTTGATACAATTAAAAAAAAGATCCTCTGGTTTTAGTGAATCTTAAAGTAAATACAACCTCAGACAATCCATGACGTATTACAGTGTCATTATCTAACAGAAATCTAGATCATTTCCTGTAGCAGTGTCTGTCGTGTCAGTTGCTCTTCAGAAATTAAAACAAACTTCATCATATTAGGAGGCCCACATAAAGGCACCTTTAAAGACAATGTAATATCCAAAACACTGATGACAGAACTGGCCCTGTGTCGCCCATGGCAACTCTTCTTCTTTCTTGCTTATAGGTGTATGAGTTGTTGGTCGACTTTAATCCTCTGTTCTGACCTTTAAAACCACAATGTGCTACAAAAGCACCATCAGTCCTGGTTTGAAAGACTAATAATGTTGCTTACAAAGCAACCCGAAGCAAAAGTAACTTAAAGTGATTGTTTCCGGTCTCTCATTTCATTAAGCAGATTTATCAACCCTATTTTTTTCCTCAGTGTTGCTTTGGTTTATGGACATTTTCAGCATCCACTCAGGTCCTGCTTGAGCCCTACCCATCAGGATGAGGTCTGGGCTACAGTTGCAACATCATCCTGTTGTAGTTTTGCTGCTGGTGTCTGGATTGAGATCACACCCTTTTGTTCGATTCAGTTTCTTCCAAGCTTTAGCTGCCTGACAAAGGGCTTCACGTGTGACTATAATACTGTAATATACAAAAGAGATTATGTTAAATTCAGCGAGGATGAGGGTCCCAGGTTCTGTCTGCACTGAGGGAAATCTTCACTTTGCTTTCATCCGTCCAAACAGCATTGTTGCAGAAGTCACGTTTTTTTTTTCCAGATGGAACAAAAAACCCAAGATATATTACCATGCCTTTGTTAGAAAGAAGTTTTTACAGTCAGCCCTTCTGAACAAGCCATACTCACAGTATTTTCCTAGTTGTCCTCCTATGAACTATTACATCTCACTTGATAAATAAGGTGTACAAAATCTTAAATGCACCTTCTGAGCTCAGGTTGAATGGCTGGGACATTTATTCCTCGAGGAATGTTTAGAAAAAATCAATCTGAGTAATCTTTCTTAATGGAGCATGATAGAGTCCAGTTTTTTTGCAAGGGATAAAGTCATACAATCTTTGACAGGGCGTTAGGTAGAAACAAATTATTTTTTACGATCAATGCTGATGACTGTCCTCCTTGATATGGTCTTAACACACATCTTGATGTTTCCCATCAGCAGCTGGTTTAACAGCGCCAATCTGCTATCGCCACTTTAGCTCTTAATCCACAGGGATGTCGTGAGGGTGTATAGCCTGTTTTAGTTTTAAAAAAAAAGAAAATATTAACTTGAGAGGAAGAAGCTTAGTGCTGGATTGGGCTTTCTGTTATTTTGAACAAACATTTTAGAGCCTGAAGGTTTTCGCTTTGACTGAATCAAGGTTAGAATCAGTTATGAATCCCTGCTTCTTTCATCTGTGCACCTTGTACAAATAGAACGTTTCAGTACATTCATTTGAGGAAAGAGTATGTGCGCTTGTGCAACCTCTGAGTGGGAGAGGATGCGCGTGCAGTTTGTACAGCTTGAATTGTTTGTGTTGAGTGGATGCTTTTACCTGAGTCTGAACTCCATCCACTGGCGTTTCCAGCAGGACTTTACTCCCCACCTTGCCCATGGTTTTAACTGCACCAGCTGTATCACGAGAGGCAAAGGCAAATGTTCAATGCTTGGATACAAAATGATTAAATTGACAGAGATTT